AGATCCGGCATCCTGCCTGTTTTACTCTGTCCCTGGTTTCACTCACTGGATCAATTGAAGGCTCATTACAGGGTCAGGGGTCAGGGGTCAGGGTCAGGGTGTTTATATGCTGCTCAGGCTGGACAACAACTTCAAATTCATAAGCTAAGCTCCACCGTTTACTCTACACAGATGTTAACTCAAAGACAAATATATTATTATAAACCCAAATAGAGAATAATTACAGATACTGAGGGAGTTAAAGTCTAGAAAAACAAAACTTAAATAAATATATATATATATATACATTGGTCAAATAAAATGTGTACTTTTTCAGTTAGGTTTTATAACAGTGTGAAAAATATATTCCAATATATATGAAGAAGAGTATATTATAGCAAAACGACAATGAAGCAAACAAAGAACATCAAGAATGACAGGAATCTGCTGATGAGATGAAGTCATCAGCATCTTAACTTCATTTGATAGGAACAAAAACAATCGGATCTGAACGATGGGGAACAACGAGTCGTCATCAATGACAGTAAATCTTCTGTAAAACAGCAACAGGGATTCCACAGGGAACCATCCGAGGCCCAGTTTATGTTCGGCTGAAGTTAATGACATCATTGTTGATGACATCATTCTTGATGATCATTGTTCACACATGGGACAGGAGCAGCTGATATAGTGAGTCGTCATGACTAAATGATTCCTGTTTGACTCTCAATACGCAGAAAACAAAGTGCTTTTGCTTTGAATCAAGAAAACATTACAGTTATTGATTATCCAGATCAATCGGATCCTATTGAACAAGAATCCCAAGAAAAATATCTGGGAATAATTCTGGATGCTCAGTGAAGTTTTAGGAGCCATGTTGATCAAATCAGCCAAACTGTCAGATAAAGTGTAATAAGATGATTAGAAATGCAGAGATGTTTCTGAACTCATTGATCGTTTTCTGCTTTGGAAACTCGTAGCAAGTCTCTGTAATCGGGTTTCACACCAAAAGCCAATCACATCCCTTCATTGGCACATTTTGGCCAAATTCAGCATTTTAATCTTTTAAAATAGATTTTTAATGTTTAAATGGATATGCATCCATTAAATAGCGGATCTTCTAGAGCGGCTGCAGAGGAAACTGGAAGGGTTTGAAGAACCGCTTTGCTCAAAGCTGTCGGTCTGTGAGTCACTTCCTGTTGATTTAACGTCCACTTTCAGGACGTCACAAGACAAAACTCTGGTCCTGTCAGAAACAGAACTGCATCCATTTGTAATGTTTTGGGATTCACTTGTAGATGCTGTCGACATGATGTTGTTATTCTAAATGATTATCACTTTTTTTAGAGGGTTAGGGTTTTGAAAGGCCGTCTCGGGTCAAGTGCTGTTTCATTCAGTCTGTCGACGTCAATGTTTGTCTGTCCCTACCAAACAAACTAAAATAAAAATGAAACAGTTTTGGAGGAGAGTTAAAGTCTTGACCAATTTCTTATGATGAAAGTTACGTTTTTCAACAGGGTACGGTTAAAAATACACAGTTTGAAGTCAGTTTCTTGAAAATGACTAAAAGAGAAGCTCCCCGTTGGCCTCCATCTTTACTTCTGCAAACCCTGAGTGCTTCTTCTTTTCCTGGTGCTGAGAACGCGACGCTATTGCGCCCTCTACTGCACATGCGGGACACTTTCAGGTCAGGATTAGGGTAACCCCAACCCTGACCCTACAGCCATGAACCCCGAACCATTGTCTCACCTTTGACCCTTTGTCTCACCTGACCAAAGGTTTTCCCAGAAGTCATCTGGACGCTCCATGTGGGCGGCTGCTGAAGATGGGTCCTCCAGGGAACAGTCCAAGTCTTGTTCTAGATAGTGAGAAAGTATAGACCCGTCTGAACAATATGTAGCGTTTAGAAATGACTCCGATTGAAGAAAAATCAAACTCAATGAATTTGTAGAACTTCATTGAAGTGGTTGGGTTTTTGGGCGAATGAGACGATGGGAAACCTGTGAGTTGAGCTGATCCAGCAGGAAGGAGCTGAGTCTGTGTGTGTTGCAGGCTGTTGGGGCAGACGGTCCGCCCGTCACCTGCCGGCCTGACCAGGTGTCTCATGGATACGTCGCCATCAGAGTAATGAGCGTCCTCTGCCAGCCGGTCTCCAAGCCTAGAGAGACGGAGTAACTGCTGCTGTCATTTCAGCCTGGTGTTCGGACCACTACGTGGAGCTGGGCTCCGGGCCGCCGGTTCTGCTGTGCCACGGCTTCCCAGAGAGCTGGTACTCCTGGCGGTACAGGTGAGCCTTCCAGTAAGGCAGCGGCGCTGACGTGTCGCGTCTTCACACCTGCTTCCTCTCTGGCAGATTCCCGCTCTGGCTGCCGCCGGGTTCAGGGTCCTGGCTCTGGACATGAAGGGATACGGCGAATCCACAGCGCCACCTGGTGGGCTCACACACAAATCCTTCCCTGAAAGTTGTTTCTAGTTTTCTGATTGGTCAGTGTTCCCCTGCAGACATAGAGGAATATTCCCAGGAGAAGCTCTGCAAGGTCTGAACTCAGCAACAAGTTGAAATGTGGCAGAATTCAGTCTGGAGGGTTTCATGCATTTCTCTGTCTGCAGGATCTCATCTCCTTCATGGACAAAATGGTAAGAAATACACGAGCCAAAGAAAAATGTTCATCACAGGCGACTTGTCTTTCTGCCCCTCCAAGTTCTTACCACAGGTCACCCTGGTGGGTCACGACTGGGGCGGCGCCCTGGTCTGGGCCATGGCCCGCTACTTCCCAGAGAGAATCAGGTAAAAACTCTGTGACATCAACGTTTCACCGTATTTGGAAAGTCAAAGTGAAATACGTGATTTTTGTGAAGGGCGGTAGCGTCTCTGAACACCCCCCTGTTCCCACCGGACCCGTCCAAACCGCCTTCAGAGAAACTGAAGGCTCTGCCTGCTTTTGACTACCAGATTTACTTCCAAACACCAGTAAGTGTTTGCTTGACTGGGAGAACCAGAACTGGATCTCTGAGACCAGTTCTTCCCAACAACATTTCCAGCTTCCAATGCACAAAACAACAAATATTTGGATCATCAACAGGCATTTCAGTGTTTCAATCAGGACTATTTTAATCTGCTCTCAATTATTTCTAAACCTGTTGACATTGGTTTTAGGACAGTTTGACTCCTTTAAGGACTTTGTTTGGTTTGTTTTTGCTGTGACAGTGAAGCAGATCACAGTCGGTTTTCTCCAACTCCACTTTGATGGTTTTCTTCTCCGTTTAACAGAAGAAAGTTTTAGAAAACTGACTTTAGAAAACCTTGCAGCGCCACCTGCTGTCAGGACCAAACCTTGCTGCAGCTTTCAGACTCTGCTTTTGCTGCAGGGAGTAGCCGAGGCCGAGCTGAGAGCGACTTGGAGAGAACCTTCAAGATCTTCTTTTGCAGCAGCCGTGAAGCCGTGAGTAGAACCAGACCAGAGTCCGGTCAGAACCCACCCATCCACTCTGACTCTGGCGTTTCCTCAGGCAGGGCGTCCCACTCTCAGCACGTCGGGGGTCTGCGCTCGAGGTGAGGACGTCTGCGGGGACGGGTTAAAGGTCAACGATGGCTTCCTGTTGGGCGTGTGCTGATTGGTTGGCTCCGTCTCCCCAGGGGGGCTGTTTGTGGGTCTGCCGCAGCAGATCCCTCGCAGCTCCATGCTGACCCAGGCCGACCTGGAGTACTACGTGGCTCGGTTCAGAGGGAGCGGCTTCAGGTGAGGCGCCATCAGAGTCCAGATGTTTCAGGGTGAAGCCTGATGTTTCTCCTCCATGTTGTGTGACAGGGGGCCGCTGAACTGGTACCGAAACAACCGGGCCAACTGGAAGTGGATGTGTTCACAGCCCACTGGGAAGGTTGGTGCCGGACCGGAGACCCCGATGGTTGACATGAACCTGGACACAAACTGAGGAGGAGGAGGGAAAGTTTCCTGCATGATGTGGAGAACAAATGGTTTTACAGATTGGATCCATTCAAACAATCTCAAACTTCCAGAGTTTCAACAAAGCGCTGAATATTTTGGGCTGCAGTGGCTGAACTCCAATATCAAATCAATAACTTGTTTTGATCCAAACCGTCCTGAATAAGTCTGTTCACAGTCTGAGTCACGAAGCTTAAGCAGGTTTAACTTGTTTAGTTTCATCATTTATTGATCCTAAAAGCTGCAGATTTGATCAGTTTTACCTTTTCTGATGAGACGCATCACACTTCAGACGCTTCCTGCTTCCTGTCAGCCCAGGTGGATGAGCCGCAGGTGTGCTGGAGCCGGAACCATCTAAGACCCGGTCCGGACCGGAACCGGACTCCTCTGGGTCCAGTCCGGAACCGGACTCCTCCCGGTCCGGACCGGAACCGGACTCCTCTGGGTCCAGTCCGGAACCGGACTCCTCCCGGTCCGGACCGGAACCGGACTCCTCTGGGTCCAGTCCGGAACCGGACTCCTCCCGTCCGGACCGGAACCGGACTCCTCTGGGTCCAGTCCGGAACCGGACTCCTCCCGGTCCGGTCCGGTCCGGTCCGGTCTGAGGGCTTTTGGTTTGTGACCTTCCTGACGCCGCCATGTTGTTTCCAGGTTGCCATGCCGGCGCTGATGGTGACGGCGGGGAAGGATCCCGTCCTGCTGCCGGCGATGTCTCACGGCATGGAGGATCTGGTAAGCGGCGCGTCCGGAAGGCGGCGCGGCGCGCAGCCGGCGGGTCAGGAGGTCACAGGTCCGTTTGTTCCCGCAGGTCCCCAACCTGAGCAGAGGACACATCGAGGACAGCGGACACTGGACACAGATGGACAGACCGGCAGAAACCAACAACATCCTGATATCGTGGCTGAGACAGACGCTGGCGCACAAACTGTAACACGACCAAAGTTAGACGTCAGGATTTCCTCAGGAAAACCAGAGAAGACACGAAAGTTGGAAAAGAGTTTGAAGAAAAATGGACAGAAGAAGCAAAGAGATTGAAATGAATAAAAGACCAAAACCTTCTGATTCCATTTACTTTTAATCAAAGATTATTTGACATCTGCTCAGAACGTACAGGAAACAGGAAGCTGATTGACGATCGATTGGTCGTCAATAATAAATGACTGTTATTTAGATCTCAGCTTCAATATCAACATGGACAATTTCAAGTTGTCCATGTTGTCTAAAGAAACATTATGGCCTTCAAAATCATTTCAAAGAGAAGAAAATAAATGTTTACAGAAATAAAAACATTTTTTAAAATGTAAAGCAAAACATTGAAAGAAATGTGGATGTGTTGCAGTCCAGAAAACATAAAAGAAACTTTTTAAAATAGTAAAAATTTAAAAATCTGACACTTTTAATCTGGAAGACAAAAATACTTTCTCTGCAACAAAGTCACTAATATTCAAGTTTTAAAATTCACTTTCGTGCTTCAGTCGGAGAACGGACCATGAATGGATGGAAAAGCAGAGGAGCAGTATTTCTAAAGGTGTGAAAGTTTAGTGGAAGGATGAGATTGGAAATGCAGGAGACGGCTCCCTCTAGTGGCAGAACAGCTCACAGCTTCTTCTCCTCAAACAGCTTCTTCCAGGACGGCATGATGTGTTCGTAGACCAGTTCAATCTACCAGAGACACAAAGGCGTTAGGCCCCGCCCACCGAGGCCCCGCCCACCGAGGCCCCGCCCACCGAGGCCCCGCCCACCGAGGCCCCGCCACCGAGGCCCCGCCCTCTACCAGAGACTCCACCCCTTCAGCTCACCTGCTGGGACTTTTTGACTCCGTATCTGAATAGTGTGGCCTGGTGCTCACTGTTGTGGAACAGGATGTCAAAGGTCACGTCTCGGCCCAGCATGTCCTCGATGGCGGGCTTCACCACCGAGTGGAAGTCTCTGGGGGAATGCGACCCGTCCAGCATGTTGCTGACCTGCAGACCCAAACGGGGGTCAGTCTGGGGTCAGTCTGGGGTCGCCGAGGCCCTTCTCTGCTTTATCTTGTATTACTCCCCAGCAGCTCCAGAGGATCCAGCTTGACCTCTGACCTCAGGGCGCGGCCGAACAGCGGGATCTTGGTGTCGGCGTCTGGCAATGTGAGCAAATGAAACCAGAGTCAATCAGACATGGATTCAGACCGAACCTTTTGGCAAAAAGCTTCGGGTGACATGCTGAGGCGTTTTAGGTTTTGACTAGGCCGTTCCAACTCAGGGATCAAAACAGAGGCTCAATAAAATCTTCCTCAAACTGATGATAGTTAGAAGACGACGGCAGAAAACTTTCACTTCCTGAAACTTGATGGAAACTTTTTGGTTCGATCAGCAGAAAACAAAGTTTCAGATTCAACAGAAACCGTGGATCTGAAAGCAGCTGACCTCTGCAGGTCAGGTGAGCCACGTAGGGAACGCCGTCCCGTTCCCCGAAGTAGATCCCGAAATGGGAGAAGTATTTGTTCCTGGGATACTCCACGATGTCTCCGGGGAAAAGCTTCGGCCGCGAGTTGACCTGGAGTAACAGGAGGAACCGTGGGTCACCGACCCGGTTCTGCTCGCTCCAAATGATCTGGAAACGTTCAGCATCACAGGAAACCAGCAGGTCAGAGGTCACTCACCTTGCCCATGACCGCGTTGCTCTGCGCCTCGTCCTGCTGTGATTCTGCAGCTCGGCGTCGAACAGGAACCTTCCAGCTGCTTTGCATGCGGCGCAGCCATGTGGTGATGATGTCACGGTCCACCGAGCATGCTCACTTCACACCTGCAGCCACGCCGCGCCGCGCCCGGCCTCAGCGGAACCTCGGGGAAGAACCCGGTCTCTGCCGGTCCCGGGTCAGTCGGGCCTGGAATTGTCTCTGCTCCATGAGGAACCAACATGGCCGCCACATGGCCGCCAACATGGCCGCCAACATGGCCGCCAACATGGCCGCCAACATGGAAGGGAGGGAGGGAGGGAGCGGCGCCTCGGCGGCCTCCAGGTGTTTCCTCAGCAGAAACAGGAAGTGGTGGTTATTTCCTTAGTGAACTGGGGAAAACCCAGTTGGTGGTTTTTCCATCACTGAACCAGAACCTGGAGGCCTGTCTCCATGGAAACCAAGGTTGGAAAATACAAACACAATAAACCAAATTTAATTCGTCTTTGAAAGAGTCAAATCCAAAAAGGATTTGTAGCATTTATTTAATGACTCGTACCTTTAAAATCTATTCGTTAATAAATTAATTCATCAACAAAGTGAAGATATAAAAAGTTTGAATTTATTTTTTTCATCAAACTTCATTCTTTTGCATATTGAATCATAACTTTGATGCTTTAAACGAACAAATCAAATCGTTAATGTTTTGAACTTTTACTGATTCTTTATGAACTGATCGGCAGGGTCACTATTTGGCAGGAAATGACCTCAGCAGACAGGAAGTCAGGCAGCACAGTAACAAAATACATCAGTGAATTAAAATAGAAATCATCTTCAGAAAATCAACGTTAGCAGGAAGTTCAGTACAGAACCATGAACGCTGTTTTCTAGCAGTCAGTGCAGCAGCACACCTGAGTTGACCTCTGACCTGAGCCTATTTCAATCAGTGCAGAACAGAGAGCAGCTTTCAGAATCAGGTTAAGACGGTGATTGTACTGTTGGGAGGAAAGGCAGGAAGTTGGGAAGCGGCTTCCTGTCGGGTCCAGGCACTGCGGTGTTTACGGCGAAGCGGCTCTGAGCTAGGCTAGCTGGCCGTCTGAGGTGACACGGTGAGCTCCGGCGGCGTCCGCCCCGGCGCCGTGCTTCCTCTGGTGGCGCTTGTAGTTGTCCCAGTGGGCGGTGGCGTAGCCGCAGCGGGCGCAGGCGTGCGGCTTGCGGCCCGTGTGGCGCAGCATGTGGCGCTTCAGGTTTATGCTCTGGTTGCAGCGATGGCCGCAGACGGCGCAGCGGAACGGCTTGGCGCCCGAGTGGATGCGCTGGTGGCGGCGCAGGTTGGCCAGGTTGCCGCAGGCGTAGCTGCAGGACGCGCAGCGGAACGGCTTCTCGCCAGTGTGAACCCGCAGGTGGCGCCGCAGGTTGTCCAGGTGGGAGGAGGCGTAGGCGCAGTGCGGGCAGCCGTGGGTTTCTCCGGGGCGGGGCGGCAGGCCAGCAGGGGGCGCCGCGGGGCCGTGGAAGGGCGCAACTGGAACCATAAGCAAAAGGTCAAAGGTCAATCTGGTGCAACAGAATATTGGCACAAACAAAAATAATGAGACAGAAAAACATCAGCCGGCCAGGAGAACAAGAGACACCAGAGTCTGATCAGACATTCTGATGTCATCAACTAAATGTTCATGTTTATATTTAACCCGTGTATTTATTATTGACCGTCCTCAGCATCACACCACAGAAGAAGAAACTCAGGGTTCCGTCTCCGACAGGCCGTCTCTTAGCGCAGAGGTTCTGTCCAACATGTTTGACACGTTCCTGATTCAACTGGTTGCAGCTCAAAAAAACGGCTGTTGATCAGCAGGACTAAAGGACCAGACTAAAGGACTAGACTAGAGGACTAGACTAGAGGACCAGACTAGAGGACTAGAGTAGAGGACTAGACTAGAGGACTAGACTAAAGGACTAGACTAGAGGACTAGACTAGAGGACCAGACTAGAGGACTAGACTAGAGGACTAGACTAGAGGACTAGACTAGAGGACCAGACTAGAGGACCAGACTAAAGGACCAGACTAGAGGACCAGACTAGAGGACTAGACTAGAGGACTAGACTAGGACTAGACTAGAGGACTAGACTAGAGGACCAGACTAAAGGACCAGACTAGAGGACTAGACTAGAGGACCAGACTAGAGGACTAGACTAGAGGACTAGACTAAAGGACCAGACTAGAGGACCAGACTAGAGGACTAGACTAGAGGACCAGACTAGAGGACCAGACTAGAGGACTAGACTAGAGGACTAGACTAGAGGACTAGACTACAGGACTAGACTAGAGGACTAGACTACAGGACTAGACTAGAGGACTAGACTAGAGGACTAGACTACAGGACTAGACTAGAGGACTAGACTAGAGGACTAGACTAAAGGACCAGACTAGAGGACCAGACTAGAGGACCAGACTAGAGGACCAGACTAGAGGACTAGACTAGAGGACTAGACTAGAGGACTAGACTAGAGGACCAGACTAGAGGACTAGACTACAGGACTAGACTAGAGGACTAGACTAGAGGACTAGACTAGAGGACTAGAGGACTAGACTAAAGGACCAGACTAGAGGACTAGACTAGAGGACCAGACTAGAGGACTAGACTACAGGACTAGACTAGAGGACTAGACTAGAGGACTAGACTAGAGGACTAGAGGACTAGACTAAAGGACCAGACTAGAGGACCAGACTAGAGGACCAGACTAGAGGACCAGACTAGAGGACTAGACTAGGACTAGACTAGAGGACTAGACTAGAGGACCAGACTAGAGGACTAGACTAGAGGACTAGACTAGAGGACTAGACTAGAGGACTAGAGGACTAGACTAGAGGACTACACTAGAGGACTAGACTAGAGGACCAGACTAGAGGACCAGACTAAAGGACCAGACTAGAGGACCAGACTAGAGGACTAGACTAGAGGACTAGACTAGAGGACTAGACTAGAGGACTAGACTAGAGGACCAGACTAAAGGACCAGACTAGAGGACTAGACTAGAGGACCAGACTAGAGGACTAGACTAGAGGACTAGACTAAAGGACCAGACTAGAGGACCAGACTAGAGGACTAGACTAGAGGACCAGACTAGAGGACCAGACTAGAGGACTAGACTAGAGGACTAGACTAGAGGACTAGACTACAGGACTAGACTAGAGGACTAGACTACAGGACTAGACTAGAGGACTAGACTAGAGGACTAGACTACAGGACTAGACTAGAGGACTAGACTAGAGGACTAGACTAAAGGACCAGACTAGAGGACCAGACTAGAGGACCAGACTAGAGGACCAGACTAGAGGACTAGACTAGAGGACTAGACTAGAGGACTAGACTAGAGGACCAGACTAGAGGACTAGACTACAGGACTAGACTAGAGGACCAGACTAGAGGACCAGACTAGAGGACTAGACTAGAGGACTAGACTACAGGACTAGACTAGAGGACTAGACTACAGGACTAGACTAGAGGACTAGACTAGAGGACTAGACTACAGGACTAGACTAGAGGACTAGAGTAGAGGACCAGACTAGAGGACCAGACTAGAGGACTAGACTAGAGGACCAGACTAGAGGACCAGACTAGAGGACCAGACTAGAGGACTAGACTAGAGGACTAGACTAGAGGACTAGACTACAGGACTAGACTAGAGGACTAGACTACAGGACTAGACTAGAGGACCAGACTAGAGGACTACACTAGAGGACTAGAGGACTAGACTAGAGGACCAGACTAGAGGACCAGACTAGAGGACCAGACTAGAGGACTAGACTAGAGGACTAGACTAGAGGACCAGACTAGAGGACTAGACTAGAGGACCAGACTAGAGGACCAGACTAGAGGACTAGACTAGAGGACTAGACTAGAGGACTAGACTAAAGGACTAGACTAGAGGACTAGACTAGAGGACTAGACTAGAGGACTAGACTAAAGGACTAGACTAGAGGACTAGACTAGAGGACTAGACTAAAGGACTAGACTAGAGGACTAGACTAGAGGACTAGACTACAGGACTAGACTAGAGGACTAGACTAAAGGACTAGACTAGAGGACTAGACTAGAGGACTAGACTAGAGGACTAGACTAGAGGACCAGACTAGAGGACTAGACTAGAGGACTAGACTAGAGGACTAGACTAGAGGACTAGACTAGAGGACCAGACTAGAGGACTAGACTAGAGGACTAGACTAGAGGACTAGACTAGAGGACTAGACTAGAGGACTAGACTAAAGGACTAGACTAGAGGACTAGACTAGAGGACTAGACTACAGGACTAGACTAGAGGACTAGACTAGAGGACTAGACTAGAGGACTAGACTAAAGGACTAGACTAGAGGACTAGACTAGAGGACTAGACTAGAGGACCAGACTAGAGGACTAGACTAGAGGACTAGACTAGAGGACTAGACTAGAGGACTAGACTAGAGGACTAGACTAAAGGACTAGACTAGAGGACTAGACTAGAGGACTAGACTACAGGACTAGACTAGAGGACCAGACTAGAGGACCAGACTAGAGGACTAGACTAGAGGACTAGACTAGAGGACTAGACTAGAGGACTAGACTAGAGGACTAGACTAGAGGACCAGACTAGAGGACTAGACTAGAGGACTAGACTAGAGGACTAGACTAGAGGACTAGACTAGAGGACTAGACTAGAGGACTAGACTACAGGACTAGACTAGAGGACTAGACTAGAGGACCAGACTAGAGGACTAGACTAGAGGACTAGACTAGAGGACTAGACTAGAGGACTAGACTAAAGGACTAGACTAGAGGACTAGACTAGAGGACTAGACTACAGGACTAGACTAGAGGACCAGACTAGAGGACCAGACTAGAGGACTAGACTAGAGGACTAGACTAGAGGACTAGACTAGAGGACTAGACTAGAGGACTAGACTAGAGGACTAGACTAGAGGACCAGACTAGAGGACTAGACTAGAGGACCAGACTAGAGGACTAGACTAGAGGACTAGACTAGAGGACTAGACTAGAGGACTAGACTAGAGGACTAGACTAAAGGACTAGACTAGAGGACTAGACTAGAGGACTAGACTACAGGACTAGACTAGAGGACCAG